TGTGGGATTGTCTTGTGAGTGGGTAGCAGTAATGATTACTGCAAGAGGGGAATCTTTTCAGACTTGTTGAGACACAAACAGTTGTGACATTTTAACAGGGTGAAGACAAAGTGGAATTTTCCTTACAATTCAAATTCCCAACACAGTTTGTTCAGTTTGTGTCGTACTTTTCTGTCTGCCCAGGGTTTGAGCTGCAGTTCCGTCTCGGTCCAAGCCTTCAGGGAAAGAAGGTTATGGTGCACACCAACTATCCACTTGAAGGACAGCTGTTTGACCGAAACAACTTCCGTGTTTTGCCATGGACCTACCCAACAGGAAAGGAAGAAGACTCTGATAAGTTCTGCTCTCTGGACCTCAAGTTGGCTGGGTCCTATCAGTACTACTTTGGATATGTGTAAGACCCTCCTGACAGTCGCCCACATTTTATAAATCCGGGGTTTCAATGTCAAAGCTGAATTCAGGAAATGGCAGTGGAAAATATTCCAACAGTTAAATCATTTTGTTGGAATCATCCACGCTATCACTAAAGCCTGTGATAGCATGTCTTTATGTTAGACAGTCTGTTCTTCATTTGTCCATGTTTATTAAAAATTATTGTAGAACTCTATAAATTGTTTAAGAAGTGAATACTTTGTGAAACAGCGTGATAAAGGTGTCAGTCAGAGATGCCGGCCAGTCCCGGAATAAGATGCTGAATAGGTCTGGCTAGGTGGAAATCAAACCAGGAACTAATTATTACTATTTTTTAGGTTATAAATTAATATTCCAGCTGAAAGCAATCTCCCAGAGCACTTGGGGTTTGTATCTGGCCCAAGGATATTTGGCATGCAGACTAGAGCAGCAACCTCAACCAATCACAGCAGATGGCCCCGCCCCTCCCTGAGCCTGGTTCTGCTGGAGGTTTCTTCCTGTTAAAAGGGAGTTTTTCCTTCCCACTGTCACCAAAGTGCTGCTCACAGGGGGTCATATGATTGTTGGGTTTTCTCTGGATGCATTATTGTAGGGTCGACCTTAAAATATAAAGCACCTTGGGGTAATTGTGATTTGGTGCTGTATAAATACAATTGAGTTTAACTAATTTGAGCACTTTCAGGTTTGTAACATTTAGAGACAATGTTAAGAATATTACATTTATTGTCTTTATTTAACTGGAGCTGCATATGAACCGTTCATTTGCAGTTATACCACGTGTCCACACGTCACCCGTCCACCTGTCGCTCTCCTGCAAAACTTTGGTTGGAACATCATTAGGGATGGGTATCGTTTAGGTTTTATCCGATACCGGTGCCAAATCGGTACTTTTGAAACGGTGCCGGTGCTCAAACGGTGCTCAAACCGGTGCTTAAAGAATGGAGAACACAAAATTGGTCCAAAAACCTCTCATGCTCAGCTGTTTTTTGTGAAAAGATAACAATGTTAGCCTTTTCTGCAGCTATGGGGCATATATGGTATCACTCTTGGCTGGAAGCAGTGCTTAAACAATGGAAAAAACACAAACTTTGTCCAAAAACCTCTCATGTTTAACTGTTTTCCACTTTTTCTTTGGTCATTTTAGCCTTTTTGGCCAGGGTGAAGGGAGTATCTGCCATCAAACAAGAGGACAGCCGCATGTAGCTATGATGATGTTTGCTAGTTCACCTTACATGCATTAATGTAATAACGTGGTTAGCCTACTCAACTTAAATTGCACACGAACAACATTTAGCTACTCACGCAGAGAAGAGCGGCTGCTGCTTTATCATCATCCGTCATCATTTATGCTACACTGGCAGGGCTAGGGGCCAGGACTCTCCTCTTCGTGTTTTTGGGGGATGTTGCATAACAGGCAACCCACCCGCAGTAGATGTGCTCGGTGTGAGGTCTCGCAGCAAGCTATCAAATACGGCGCATTTCTGGGCTTTAAAAAAAACCGCTATGCGTCGCCAGGTGTTTCATCGGATTTGAGGTGTTACCTCCTTTGACAGTATCACAGTATCAGCTTAAAGCACTTGTTGCTGCTGAGTTTGCTCTAAAAGAACGTACGTACCTGGGCCCGCCTACTATTCTCGGAAACGTAAAATGATTGGCTAGAAGTGTATCACAGCTCAGGAAAAAAAAGCACCGAAATAAAGCACCGAAATGTGCGCTGCTTTTCGGTCTGGTTACTACCGTTTATGTCAGAACCGGTGCCATCATGGCACCGGACACCGGTACCCATCCCTAAACATCATCAGCCACCAGTCCAGACTTCGCACCCAGTGACTACCACCTGTTCCCAAAGAAACATTTGTCAGGAAGGTGATTCTGCGGCGAGCGGCTATGACGTGGGCTTTGTAAAACTGTCACAGCGTCTACAAAAACGCATCGACCGAAATGGCGATTATGTAGGAAAATGAGTCTTTAAGCTTTAAAATGCTGCACATACTATGGAAAATAAACGGTTGCTTGTATTTCTAAAACAATAGGACACCTTACTTTTGGGATTGCCCTCATGTTTACTATAGCATGTAAATGAAAAATGGATGTCGCCACTTTGATGTCACCAAATGGTTTCTGACATCTCGAAACCTCAGTTAGCTTTTCTGTGTAACGCCATCCAGAAAGGATCCAGTAATATTCAGACAACATTTAGAGCAGTGGGTGGAGTGCCAAGTACTAACCAGTATAGTTTACTCGACAGGGTTCATGCACAAAGTGTACTGGTGCAATGCACAGACATCCTGCAGATTCATTCTAACAGATCGTTTTAATTGTGGAACTCTGTACCGCTCAGCAGTCGATATCAAATCTTCCAAGAGGCACCAACAACAGGTGTGCTTGAAAGGTCCAGTTCACTGACTCAAAGCTCCGTTCCACCAAGAGAGGCCTCTTGCAGCATAACTAAGGGAGGATTGGAAGCTGGTTCCACAGAAGAGGGGCCTGAAAACTGAAGGCTCTGCCTCCCATTCTACTTTTAAATACTCTAGGAACAACAAGTAGGCCTGCAGAGCGAGAGCGAAGTGCTCTAATAGGGTGATATGGTACTACAAGGTCATTAAGATAAGATGGGGCCTGATTATTTAAGACCTTGTATGTGAGAAGGATTTTAAGTTAGATTCAATGAAGAGAAGCCAATACAGGAGAAATGTGCTGTTTGTAGTCCCTGTCAGTACTTATCCTGCAGCACCGTGAATCAACTGGAGGCTTTTTTAACGATGAATTACAAGAGTTGAATCTAGAAGTAGTAGTGATGTGTGTTATTTTGCTTCATGGATAGATAAAAGTGGGAATCGCGTATCTATACCTAATACTAAGGAAAGCCCACAGCAACCCGTGGAAGCCACAGTTAGCCTTTGTATATGAAGCAGCCTCCACGTTTACATTAACAAACTGGACTCTATTAGATGGGTATGATTCAAAGCACTGCAGTACTACAGTACCTGTGGGATTTTCTGATATCGTAATAAAATATTATGGTCAAGTATTAAACGCTGCACTGAGTTTTTCCCAGCAAATGAAGAAAAACTGTAAGATAACTGCTTAACACTTTAAGTATTAAAATATCTAAAGTGATGTCACCCAGTCGGAATCATATTTTTAAAGTGAAACTTCTCCCAGCGATGTGGCTACTTGGCTCAGGCGTTTTAACCACTTGCCCTCCGTTCCCATCGTGTAGCCACATCAGTCATTTCATCCACCTTTCTGCTCCTCCTGTCATGGACTCTAAGTAGGAAGTGCTCCAGCAACACTCTCTTAAACGCTTTGTTTGCTTTTGGGTTGCATATCAGCAGCTACAAGTATCACCTCCTCTTCCTCACTGTTAGGTACTCCATCATCATCTGAAACGGACTCGTGGCTCTCAGATAAGCCTGCGCTTGTCTCACTGTTGTTATCTAGAGAAAGTAAATACATGGTGTCAGTCTATCAATCATATTGTGATATGACACGTTTGTATATTTCCTTAACCTGCTGTACTTTGTTAAATTCCATCAGAGACTCGGAGCGTATAGGAGGAGGTTATATTGTGGTGGATCCAGTTCTCCGTGTCGGGGCCGACGACCATACTTTGCCGTTAGACTGCATCACCATCCAGACCTACCTGTCCAAATGTCTGGGACACTTGGACGACTGGCCAGATAGACTTAGAGTGGCCAAGGAGTCGGGTAGGTTAGCACGGCACGCCCACACGGACTCTGGTTCTTTCTTTTGTGTTCAATCATAAAATGCAAACTCGGTCACTTCTGGTTGTTATTGACGACCATGGTTCCTGTCATCGGCCTAAACTCTCTGAATCAATCCTCCTGTGTGTGCAGGTACTACATCACATGGACAGTGCAGTGTGTGAGGGGATTCATCACATGTCAGGACTATCAAACAAAATGCCGTATAGAAGGATTAATAGTACGTCTGTGGGTTTGTCTTCCAGGATACAACATGATCCACTTCACTCCAGTGCAGACTCTGGGGGAGTCCAGGTCCTGCTACTCCTTAGCTGACCAGCTGAGCGTCAACCCAGAGTTCAGCCCAGCGGGTCGCAGCTACGACTGGACAGATGTGGGGGGGCTGGTGGAGAAGCTAAAGACAGAGTGGGACATGCTGTGCATCACAGATGTGGTGTATAACCATACTGGTGAGTTGAGCCATGAGGAGGGCCGTTCATTAGTGTACTGCAACACCGCTTCCTTCCCTTCGAAGGTAAAAGGCCACCTCCTGCATCTGATGTGAGACGGCTGCTGTTCACTGCTGTCTTTAGATTCTGACATCTCCCCTCTAAGCGTTCTACCCTGTGCTTTGCAATCAGACGTACCAAATATTGTTTTGACTGCAGCGACGCGACATCCTTCAGAAATTTCATGGTTGGCTTGTACCAACCACTAACCAAGTTAAACGCTTCAAGTTACCCACAGCAGCTAACTTAACTAGGCACACCAACAGCAGAACATGTTACTGAAGAGTGCTAATTGGTTAACAAAGAGCAAAAATGCACCTGTTTTCTTGCCTTAAAGGATAGCAGGGGAAGTGAATCACAAGGCTTCCTGAGCCAGTCCATGGAGCCGATCACTGACGGAACATCCTGTGCATCACTTTTCATAATGCATGGACTCGATTATGGACTAAGGATGGAGAAGTCGACATGTGTGCACTCAGCGTACATGCAACACGTTCTTTTATTGTGATCTTTGTTTACAGCTCATGGTTTGTTATGCTGCACACACTCACTTTTATTTGGCCTGAACATTTATGCAATCACATGTCTTTGTTCCACCACATGTTATAGTACGAGAGGTTTCACAACAACACATGCTTTCACTGAGAGTCTGCACAGTTCCAAGGATTGAAAGTGTCATTAAACTGTCCCAAAGGCAGGACTTTCAGACAGATCGTTACCCTTATCCTGTGAAGTTCGACAGAACAGGAAAGATTGTTGTTGACTCACAATCATAAAGGGAAGTAAAGAAGCCGTTTGGTTTTGTTACCTTTGAAGCACAGCAGGTGAACACTGTGCTGTGGGGAGGACTGGAAACATTTGCTTTCTTATAGTGGGCTCAGTACGGCCTCTGTGGAAGTGTAGCCTCACAGGTTTTTTCCCTGACCTCAAGCACACACTATAACCACGAGGTGCAAGGCAGGAATATGCATCTGACTGGTTGGCAGATGGTTTCTGCCAGTCGCTGGCTGCTGCTGGATGAAACTGTTTGCAAAGAGGTTGCTGCACCAAAGTCCTTGTGATCATTTTGGTCATCTGTAGTTTGCACAGAAGATTATTTAAGACCTTGTATGTGAGGAGCAGGATTTTGAATTCTGGATTTAACAGGGAGCCAATGAAGGGAAGCCAAAACAGGAGAAATCTTCACGCCACAGTGTCCAACATGGCAGTTAACGCGATACACTAAGCTTTAAAAGTGCCATTTTTGCCACACTTTGTCAGGGTTAAGGTTTGCTCACGCTCCCGTACTCTTGCTGTAGCCTTGTCTAAGGCTTTCACTTGAAATCTATTTAGAATCAGGTCAAGATTTAAAGACCACTAAAAAGTTAGCTGGGTATGGTTTAGGTTGTTGGTAAAACATCTTATAGCAAAACTGGTTAACAGTTACTCTGAAAGTGTTTTTTCAGGTCGAGACTTTTCATTTGACATGCTCGTTGTATCAAAGTGTTTGTGCTGTCCTGCTGGCAGTGACCACCCGTGGATCCCTCTCATCCTCGCTCAGGAAAGGTCGAGCAGTAAAATGAGCCTGATATGAAGGTTAAATACAGACTGAACTCTGATTTATACAGTATGTGTGACTCACTGTCAGACTATTATTAGATCTGTAAAAAGAGTAAAACATTGATGAATAAAGTATTTAAACAGCTCAATGGTTTCTTGTCTGTGTTCCTGCACAGCTGCTAACAGCGTGTGGATAAGGGAGCATCCAGAATGTGGATACAACCTGGTGAACTCTCCTCACCTGCGCCCAGCCTGGGTTTTAGACAGAGCTCTGTGGCATTTAACCACCAGAGTAGCAGAGGGACGCTACAAAGCTAAAGGACTTCCTGCTGACATTACCACGGAGAGTCATCTGAATGTGAGTTCTGGGTTCCTGCACATTCATTCACCTTTGAACTTTCACAAATGTCACAGGCTGTGGTGTGAGCCAATGACAGCCTTGCCTGAGAGCATGAATTGAAATCTTATCCACAGCCTCATCACCAAAGGCAGCTAGCTTTTTTTAAAATGTTTCTTTAAGTTACTCAGTAGTATCAGGGCGGTCGTGGCTCAAGAGTTGGGAGTTCGCCTTGTAATCGGAAGGTTGCCGGTTTGAGCCCCGGCTTGGACAGTCTCGGTCGTTGTGTCCTCGGGCAAGACACTTCACCCGTTGCCTACTGGTGGTGGTCAGAGTGCCCGGTGGCGCCAGTGTCCGGCAGCCTCGCCTCTGTCAGTGCGCCCCAGGGTGGCTGTGGCTACAATGTAGCTGCCATCACCAGTGTGTGGATGTGTGGATGACTGGATATGTAAAGCGCTTTGGGGTCCTTAGGGACTAGTAAAGCGCTATATAAATACAGGCCATTTACTATTTTTTTATTTTTTTTTTACTGAGTAACTTATGAGGGATTTCGATCAAAGCTAAGGGGCGTTTTCCTGGCCTGCTGTAAAACAGCAGAACATATCTTGTGTGACATTTCTAGACACAATTTCAATAAAATTTTTGTTAAACTTTTACATGTCAATTAAAAAAATAACCTGTTTTTACAGAGACATAAACTATTGCACCTGACGGTCTGCACTGCTGAGTAACGCCTGTGGAGAATACTCAGTTTCTATATTTAGATTTTATTTTATAGTAAAGATAATCATTTTGTCATTTATTTATATACATTTGCACATTGCCCCTTATTTTTTTACTCTTACACCCGACAGTTAAGACAACCAAAACCGAGCACCAAGCCGCGTTTACCTTGCAAGCTGTAATTTGGTGCATAAATCTTTGCTAGTTTGAAGTGTGTGTGTGTGTGTTACTACTTCAGTGGCTCACAGAAGTCCTGACCTAAAAGAGGGTTTGTAGAATTCCTCAGAATAAACCAGGTAATAATGAACCTCATGTCTATGCAGATGAACTGAGCTGGGTCAGTTCATCAGATGGTTAAAGGCACTTTCTCTCAGCAGCATCGTACACGCTTTAAAGACGCGTTTGTGTAACGTGTGTTTGATTTGTTGTGTTTCAGGCCGTCCGTAGTGTGATGTGGCAGGACGTGTTCCCTCAGATCAAACTGTGGGAGTTCTACCAAGTCAAAGTGGACAGTGCTGTGGAGGAGTTTAGGACCCTGCTGCAAAACGGTGTGTAAATCCACACAGACGTCCCAAAGCCAAGAGTCGTTATGTGAGCTTCAAAAACTCATCAGCATGTTTTCAGTTTGAAGCCCCAAAAAAGAACTTGTGTTTACGGTGTGTGCAAAGATGAGCAGAGGGTTAAACCACATTCACTGTGTCGTTAACATGTGTGTGCCTGCCATCAGGTACCAAGCCAGACCACAGCAAGACTGGAGGGCAGACGGGCCTCAGGATCATTCAGGATCCACAATACCGTCGCTATGGCAACACAGCAGACATGGACTCTGCTTTGGAGACGTTTGTGCCTCACAGGTGAGACTCGGGGTCCACGGCACGAGTGTGATGTTGGGCTGCTGGTCAACGTGCTGCGATTGAGTTTCTTTGTTCTTTTCAGATCGTCAAACACGTTTTTAATCCTGGACAAAGATGAGCTGAGTAAATGTGCTGTTTTCACCCGACAGTCGTAAAAGACTGTTGGCATTTATAAAAGTATTTTTAAATTAAGATTACATTTATTAAGGGGAAATGAAGCTGTCCAAACCCATCCCGCCATGTGTGGAACGAACGAATGAACTGATTAACGAGCCACGCCTGTTCAATCAGGACGTAACTTTAATGTCTGTCTGACAAAGTGAGCTCAACAATCACATCGGACCAGGTCTTTTTGCCTCATCATTCAGAAACAGCGTTTTGTATTTAAATGGGTTATTTTTGTCTAATATTAAAGAAAAACGTGACAAATATTGCTCAAATGTAAGAACTCTGCTTTCACAGCACTGTAAGTATGCAGTTGACAGTTGGCTCGAAGATGTTACGCAGCCATCACATTAGAGCTGCAACAGGAAGTTTTAAACATGCAATGTGGACAGAGTCAGGTGACATCACCACCCGATTAGACCAATGTGTAACCTTATCCTGCACAGGTGTGGACCTGTGTGGGGATAAAAGCAGCAGCCTCCTGTCCTTGCGTGTTAGCATTAACCACATTCAGCAAGCTAATCTGACACACCGTGTGTGGGTACAGCTTACCCTGCATTTCAGACCCATGGACCCCTGTGATTGGCTGACGATCGTCCAGAGTGTGTGAAAGGATTTGTTCTTAAATATGATGGTTCTGTTTGGTTTCCAGTCCAAAATAAGTCATTCAGGTGACGCCACACAGTCCCTTTGACTTAGTGTGAACGTTAGTTCAGTATTAAATGAATCAGGACCTCTGTTGTGAAAAGAAGACTGATGTTTGCATCTGTAGGGAGCACATCCCTGTTCCTCCATGCTCATCACTCAGCACAGCGTGGTTGAAAAAAATAAGCCCACAAACATTTAAAAACTACATTGTAATGTTTCTTCATTGTTCAGATATGAGTTACCTCTGTGACGCTGACATGGACCAGTGTAGTTAATGTAAAGTGTGTATATCTGTGTGTGCGGCACACAGCAGTGTGATGTAATGTTGCTTCCCTCTGTAGCTTGTCACCTCAACACATCGAGGAGTGCTGCGGTTGGCTCAATCAGAAACTGACTGACCTGAATGCAGAGCAGTATCACATAGTGCACCAGCATCAGGAGCAGGTAAGGCTGCCACTGTACAGGGCCACACCTGACGTGTTAGCTAGAGGGGAAAAGCATCGAAAGCTGTTAAACCTGTGAATTAACGTCCGTCTGTCAGTCAGCATCGGGCCAATGCAGCCCCAGGTTTAGAGCAAAACGACTGATAACAGCTACGCCTGAGACGATGCTGTCACTTTAACTTGGAGCCAGAGTCTGAGGACACGCCGTGAAGAGCAAAGAGGCGGAGCTGTGACCAGTAATCACCATTAAAAGCTTCACATGAAAAAGCTGGTAGTAGTCCTTCAAAGCACCTGTTCAACAGAAGTGTAAAGCTGCTCCAGCCACCGCTGTTTGCAGAAGTTACGTTTAACTGATACAGACAGGCAGCATGCTGAACGCTGACGGCAGGACACAGGACCCAGCTGCAAACAGGGGCGGAGCTAAAGGGGGCCGTGGGGTGTACCGCACGAGCTCAGGGGTTTCCTAACATTTCGTTAGTGAAATGAAATAAAATGTTAGATTGATAAAAATATGAATGAACATGGCTCAGCGTGGAGGCAAAGTTCATGCTATCCTGATGTTTGTGGCTGTTTACAAGAAACGTCGCTTTCATTTGAATGTCAAAGCAGGAAGCTGCAGGTGATTTAGGTCAAACCACTGCAGCACAGCACCTCTAACACTAACAGCGCTGTAATAACGTATGGACCACTGCACTGAGGTCCACGGTCAGAGGCTGTAAGGTCTTCATAACCTTCAGCCTCCTGTACAGTGATGAGCTCTGAAACCTGACTGCAACTCCAGATTAACCATTGATCTGTTAGCTGTTTGATAACTGCTCTGTAAGATGAACTGTCGCCATCGCTGGGCTCCTGTGTGGACTGTTTCTATACATGGTCATTTTCAGCAAACACCTTCTCTGTGACATGTAAAATCTTTAACGTGTGTGCGGGTACTTTGTTTTCGAACAAGTGTCTGATTTGTCTTTTGCTCTGTCACAACCTTCTTCTTTGTCCCTCCAGGCTGTCAACTGTCTTATTGGAAACATCGTCTATGAACGACTTGCTGAGCACGGTCCCAGGCTGGGCCCTGTTACCAGGACAAACCCAATGGTCACCAGGTAACCAGTTTAAAGAGCTGACTAATGAGAGGAAGACAGAGTACAGTGAAGTGTGTTAATAACTCAGGACATTTACTAAAGCTTTAACAAAGACACGAGGCAGGTTAGCTGAACACTTCATAATGCTAAGATATTATCATGGCCCATACTATAAGTACGTATTAGGGGTGGCGCTGTCTCAGAAGTCAGTGAGCTGTATACCAATTAGAAGGTGGGTGGCTCAACCCCTGGTTCTCCAACCTGTGTGTCAAACTCAGGGCAAGATGCTGAACCCCGAGTTGTTCCACATACATCAAAGTATGTGAGCATTAAGATAAAAGTATTCAGGCTTATTTCAATAAAGCACTTGGATGAATGTGCTGACAGGTAAATGAGGCTCAAACTACATAGAAAGCTTTATATCCAGTAGCAGTCAGTTGGATTCATGTTTCCTTTGAAAAGCGTGGATGTTGGTGACAAACTCATTGATCCTCACTGAATAGGATCCATCAAATGATCCATTGTCTAACATGAAGTGCTTTGACACAAAGTGTCCACAGCTGCACTACGTTCACATCACCCGGGCAGCCATAATGCCATGTTCCCATCTTCCGGTCAGGTATTTCACCTTCCCCTATCAGGACATGACTCTGGACCAGGAAATGCAGCTGCTGGACCAGCCAGACAAGATGTGCCATTTCCTGGCCCACAACGGTTGGGTGATGGGCGACGATCCACTCAGGAACTTTGCTGAACCAGGTAAACAGGATGAGCGGTTAAAAAAAGACTAAATGTTGAATATGATGCTGCTTTAACCTGTCAGTGACTGTTGTTGCTGCGACCTGGGAGTAATAAAGTGACCGTATCAGTACTGAAGTGCTTCTGCTCCATAAAGGCTCCAACGTGTACATTCGTCGGGAGCTGATCGCCTGGGGTGACAGTGTCAAACTACGATACGGCAACACGCCTGATGACTGTCCCTACCTGTGGGATCACATGAAGAAATACACGCAAATCACAGCCAAGTATTTCCACGGAGTCCGCCTGGACAACTGCCATTCCACACCTTTACATGTTGCTGAGGTATCGCCACACCTCACTGTACATCACACACTTCATGTCAATTATTCTACGTTTAAATCCAGGACACGTAACACTTTAGCTCCATGTTGCAGTAAAGTTGTTCTGCAGGCTTACATGTTAGAAATATGTTTGATGTCTCACTGGAGCCGAACGTCACTGTTGAACTGTTCTACAGACATGTCGAGGACACACGACATGTTTGTGTTAGTCTCAAAGCATGAAAGTGTTTATTTAAATCACTGATGTGCCACAGTTTGAATAGACAGACATCTGTGATAACAGCAGAGAGGTCGCTGTGTGGCCCTGTGCTGACCCGCCCTGTGGGAGGGGTCTGAATTTTTGGGGCTTTGTTACAGTAGCCACCATATAAATAACCCAGGCAAATTATTATTGGATGTCCTGGCTGTCTTGTGTTTTGCAGAGGATGTTGGAAGGATAGCCACTTCTTAGCGTGTTAACTGTATTTCCAGACGTCACCGTGTCCTTCTGGAACTTGTTCTGGTTTCGGCTCCATTTGAGAGCCGGCTTGTTCCATCTGCAAGTGTTGAAGTAATACTGTGATGTGGCCTCAGTGAGTCTAGTCCAGGTGCGAGCAAATGCTGCTGTGGCGCACCCTTCTGCTTCGACACGCATTATCAGTGAGATTCAGTGAAACGATCTCAGGACGTCTGTGCTACACTGTAACGGTCCTAACTGTAGTGACAAATATGATTAATGCTGAGTTCAAGCATGTACAAAGAGAAGACGCAGCGTCATTACAGCCATGTTGTCCCGTGTGAGCGTGTCCCTGCTAACAGCAGCTCTCTCTCTCCTTGTCCGTGATGTTTGTCGTCCAGGCCATGTTAGACGCAGCCAGAGCGGTCAGACCCAATCTGTATGTGATAGCTGAGCTCTTTACAGGCAGCGAGCTCCTTGACAATGTTTTTGTTAACCGGCTGGGAATTAGCAGTCTCATACGAGGTACAGCACTGATGTGCAAGCTAAATGTGTGACTGTCTTTCTTCTCTCCCCACTGCATTGTTCTGCATGTCTCCAAACACTCCACCTCTCCGTGTGTTCTTTGACTGCACGACTGCACCATTCTAACTGGCTGAGTCCCCTTCACTTTCATTCTCCTCCTCTTCCTCCTTCAATCTTTCTTTCATGCATGCCCCCCCGCACTGGTTTGTCATGCTGTGGTTTGTTAGTTCATGCTGGATGTGGCCAGAACGGTGCGTCCTGACCTGTATGTGGTGGCTGAGCTGTTCACCGGCAGCGAGGAGCTGGATAATGTCTTTGTTACCAAGCTAGGGATTACATCACTCATACGAGGTAAAGTACCGTGTCTATAACACACCTACAAATACAGCATGTTCGTTAACTGCTGACTTCATTCATGTTTAAATATTTGTATCAATTCCACATCTTCAGAACATCCTCAAGTCAGCTTGAATAAATCCATGTAAACACATTCAGACTCCTGAAACTGCTGAGAGCTCAGCTGTTCCAGGAGTCCCGCTCTCGTCACTGGTGATGAGCTGGGATTGTGCACAAAGTGTGGAGCCTGTGATGAAGTCAGAGCGTGCTGTGTAGATGATCCGAAATGAATTCTGAGCACTTCTGGACATCCCAGCATCGAAGGGGAGATCAGCCACATTTCAGTCGTGCTGAACTCTGCTTGTTGTGGCGCTGTTCCTGGAGCACGCCCAAAGCTTGAAGTAAAAACCAAAAATGTAAACTCAGGAATTATAACTAGATTTTTTTTTGGCATTCAGTGACATCTTTCAGTACTTGTAGTTGTGGTACTAAAAACTACTTGTATAGGAAGTAGCTTTAATATGTAGTGAGGTCCAAACCCCACTGCACCAAACCCCGTCACAGAGCTGCACCTGTTGGAGGTCACAGTAATAACTGTGTCCTGGTTTGCTTCCTTCCTGGTTCCATATTTTTTGCACATTTCTCACACTTCATGAAACAAATGTAAATGTTAGACAAAGATAACACAGGCAAACACAAAACGCAGGTGTTTATTATTCAGGTGTGTACACTGCAGGCCTGCGTGACTCTGTGCAGGTTACCAAAGTCACGGCTTTCATGGATCTTCATCCACAGCTGTGTGACCCACTGACAAACACAACTCTGTCAAATCCTGGAATCAAACCAGATAAACTCCAACAACCCTGTGCAGTTATGATCAGGTGACCGGGTGAGGGCCTCCAGCTCGCACTGTCAGGTTCGCAGCCGAGTGTGAAGCAGCGGGAATGAGGATCAGCACCTCCAAATCTGAGGCCATGGTTCTCAGCCGGAAAAGGGTGGAGTGCCCACTCCGGGTCGGGGATGAGTTCCTGCCCCAAGTGGAGGAGTTCAAGTATCTCGGGGTCTTGTTCGCGAGTGATGGGAGAAGGGAGCCGGAGATCGACAGACGGATTGGGGCTGCGGCTGCAGTAATGCGGACTGAGTGTAAAAGCGAAGCTCTCAATTTACCGGTCGATCTACGTCCCTACCCTCACCTATGGCCACGAGCTGTGGGTAGTGACCGAAAGAACGAGATCGCGGATACAAGCGGCAGAAATGAGCTTCCTCCGAAGGGTGGCTGGCCTCTCCCTTAGAGATAGGGTGAGAAGTTCGGCCATCCGGGAGGGGCTCAGAGTAGAGCAGCTGCTGCTCCACATCGAAAGGAGCCAGCTGAGGTGGTTCGGGCATCTGACAAGGATGCCCCCTGGGCGCCTCCTGGGTGAGGTGTTCCAGACATGTCCCACCGGGAGGAGGCCCCGGGGCAGACCCAGGACACGCTGGAGAGATTATATCTCTCGGCTGGCCTGGGAACGCCTTGGTATTCCCCCGGATAAGCTGGAGGAGGTGGCTGGGGAGAGGGAGGTCTGGGCCTCTTTGCTTAGGCTGCTGCCCCCGCGACCCGGCCTCGGATAAAGCGGATGAAGATGGATGGATGGATGGATGTTGCTGGACCGTTTGCACAGATTCAACTTTTCATCCCCATCATGGTTCTGATGTCATTTGTACTCAGTTTGGATTCACATGGAAACAAATGTAACTGAGTGTGTGAGCTCACCTGTCAGTGATGCAGCATGGCGTGTGTCCACCTGTGTCTGCGAGCGCTTACTTTGGTTTTCCCCCTTCACTCGATCATCAGAGGCGATGTCAGCTGGTGACAGCCACGAGGAGGGCCGCCTGGTGTATCGTTACGGCGGTGAGCCAGTAGGAGCTTTTGTTCAGCCCAGTCTCCGCCCACTGACACCCTCCATTGCACACGCCATGTTTCTTGATGTAACCCATGACAACGAGTGTCCTATCCAGGTGGGTCTCTTGAGATCAGCTGACAGTGAGCTTGGAGTCGAGCTGTTGTACGATGGTTAATTGTCGGGTGTGTCGTTTACAGCTCCGCTCAGCCTTCGACGCTCTGCCCAGTTCTGCTATCGTGGCCATGGCGTGCTGCGCTACTGGCTCCACCCGTGGATACGATGAACTGGTGCCACATCAGGTTATTATATATTTATCTGACAGCATTTTGCTGAACACGACAGAACAAAGTCTCCAATAATGGGGCGTATTTGTAAAAATGTGCCTAACTGCTCATTAACACAAGCTCAGCCTGTCTTTGGTCCTTTGTGGAGTTTTTGTGGACACAAACGGTCTTTAGAATCTAAAACAGCAGAAGCAAACTTAACATGACAGACATACATCGTAAGTTCACTTTATAGTTTTGGATTTTTCCTTTGTTAATGCTGATGTTCCAGTGAATTTAGATTCACTGGATAAATCTGTCACATATATAATAAAATCCAAAATTTCAAGTCAACCCTCATTCCTTTATACTTCCAGTTTAAATAGTGCTAATTCACGAGGCAGTTCATCAAATAAAGAAAATAAAAGTGTTACTTTGAGGCCCTGTGAGAGGCGCTGCAATAAGAGCACACACCGACTCCATGCTTACCTGTGCACAGATCTCTGTGGTGAAGGAGGAGCGCTTCTATCCCAAGTGGAACCCGTCAGCAGTCCCATCCTCTCCTGGTGAGGTTAGCTCCTGTACCGGCATCGTAGCTGGGAAACGGGCAGTAAACAAGCTGCACCAGGAGCTAGCTGCACAGGGATTCACACAGGTACACACACACACACAGGAAGTGCTTTCTGTGCTAAAGCCGATGCTTCGATGCTAAAACCTTTTGGTACAGTTTGTCCAACTCCTCCTGTCCAGGTGTACGTGGACCAGGTGGATGCAGACATCGTTGCAGTGACTCGTCACTGTCCCAGCACCCACCAGTCTGTGGTAACCGTGAGCAGGACCGCCTTCTGGGATCCCAAAACCCACCAGTACAGCACCAGTGTCCCGCCCATGTTCATTCCTGGTAGAACAACATCATTACTGTGGATTTTGAATCTTAGTGCAGCTGTGCACACCCACCACGTTTGTTTGTTTTTTATTATTTTCATTGATTTATTTTTTTCGATTAGTTGGATCTGAATAATCTTATCATTGCATTTGAAAACAAGTGCGCTCCTCACTCAGATCAGGTACTGCTAGCAGACCCGGGTGCACGTTCATGCTTTGCAGCATCTCTTTATTCACGTTGCTGTGCACACTCGGCTGCAGCGCTGCTGCTGCAAGCCACACACATCAACAACAACATGATAGGACCCCGTTCAGTCTTGTAACCCAACAGTACTAAATATGTGAAGAGATGCAGATGATAAAATCCTGGTTTAAAAACGCTGTCCTGGTCTCAGATATGGTCCCACACTGATACACCTTCGACATCTGCATCAAACCATGAAATTCTCCCTGCTTCTCATGAGAACTGGATGAGCCCAGAGTCTGTCCTGTTCAGAGACATGAGGACCATAATTACTTGATACTGACTTTTACTTATTTATTGTTTTCAGTGTATTTTGAGAACACATTTTTACATAAAGGCAGTGCATATGGTGTGTGTGTGTTACCTGCAAAGTCGGATCTGGAAAATTTGTCACAACATGTTAGGTGTGTAGTTTGGATGGATTCACAGTGCATGCTGCCACCTTTTCCCTCTCCCAGGGAAAATAGAGGAGGTGGTGCTGGAGGCAAGGATGGTGGAAAGGAGCACCGGGAAATATAAGAAGGATGAGAACTACATCAACGGCATGCCAGAATACACAGTGGAAATGAAAGAGCACATCTCGGTGAGCGCGTCGTGTTTAACACAGGTGTGTTTCTGAGCGTTAGTGGCAGACGGACGGTGTTAAACTGGTTCTGCTGTGTGCACAGGTGGATGAGAGTACAGTGATGAAGAAAGCTGGAGTGACGTCAAAAGGGCGTTCAGAGTTTGTGCACGAGATCACCTTCCAGAAGCTGACACCCGGCAGCATCATCGCCTTCAGGTAGCACACACAAACGTCACGCGTGATTGTGTGTTATGGTCACTTTTCAGACTCGCGTTTCTCTTTTCTCTCCTTGTCAGGGTCAGTTTGGATCCCAAAGCCCAGAAGCTGGTGGGACTGCTGAGGTACTATCTGTCCCAGTTTAGCCCAAAGTACAGGAGAGGCAGCGTAGCAGATGAAAACCCACCAGACGCACTGAAGAAGCCCCTGGCACAGTGAGCACACCACATACTCAACACAGGCCTTTTTGTGGTATGGATGAAATGGGACTGACAGAACGTGTCTCGCTAAGATGAGATGCAACGGTGCGAGCTGCAGGGTACACTCAGAAAGGTGAAGCTAGTATATCAGACACACAGATATGCAGAGTACTTCATCCTGTTAGTAGTACAGTATTTTTGCTAGCACACACACCTCTTACATACTCTGTACCCACACAGACCCAAAGATTGAGCGCTTTTGTCGTCATAGCTTGATGGATATAATTGGATACCAGCTGTCACGAGCTATGGTGTAAAACCAGGACTTGTCAAACAGGTGTCAGTCACATCATTAGTAGGTTGCTGTACTCTGATCATCCATCAGTTAGTAGGAACATAAAATCATCAGGGAAATGTGACGGGATAGATGAACGCTGCTGTTTATGTTCATGCTTTTAGCTTTAGGTGATGGCCTGTAGCAGCTTCTTATTGAGACTGTGTTTAACAGGCTCATGTCTAAGCTGACGCTGGCAGACATGAATGTCCTGCTGTTTTGCTGCGACACGGAGGAAAAAGAGGAAGGCGGAGGCTGTTACAGTATCCCAGGCTGGGAAACTCTCAAATACGCAGGACTTCAGGGTAACTTTATGTTCTTCAGTCCAGTCTGTACCTCATCTAGGATGGAGACCAAATGAGTGTTACTAAAGTGTTGCTGTGTTTGCAGGTCTGATGTCTGTGTTTGCTGATGTTCGTCCCAACAACGACCTGGGCCATCCTTTGTGTGCCAACCTCAGAGACGGAGACTGGCTCATAGACTTCGTCGCCAATAGGCTGATGCACAGGGAGGGGCCGCTGGCAGAGGTGAGACTGGGACTGGTTTAAGGCTCCTGTTTGTGATGACCTCTTACCACCACAGGCCACCTCACACAGGCCGCCGGCTTCTGGGTTTGAGTTTTCTGTGTGCAGTTTTCACATTCTTCCTGTTCCTGTTGGTCCCAGTACTTCAGAGACTCTGTCGGAGGGAATCGCCACTAATGTTCATTTAGATAACGATGAAATACTGAGTGTGCTAAAGGACTGGAGCAGCTGTTTGAGAACAAACATGACAGAAAACCATGAATGGATGAAATGTATTTGAGACTTTAATCACCGAATAAAAACAAGATGAACATAAAGGAGGGTGTGTGGAAGTGAAACGACTATCTGCCATACTGTTTCTCATGAAACCCCATAAAGTCAGTACTGCAGAAGAAGAGAAGCGTGCATACAGACTCTGTAAACTGTCACTGGTAAAAACATGACAAACTTTATACTCTCCAACAATCTAATGATATTTAGTCGGCTAACACTAAACTAAGTTAAAAGCCTAAGCTGACTAAAGCTCAATGAAATCCACATTAGCACTGGAGGAAACGTCTGCAACATGACTGACTCCTTAAATTGTGCTCCAAAAACCTGAACTCACAGGCTGCTAGCTACAAAGCGCTAATCCTACAAAGCGCTAATCCTACAAAGTGCTAATGCTACCGAGTCATTTGCTCAGGCCCGTGTGCGACCCAGCTGACTGAGACACAAGCTTAGATATTTCTGTCCCTGCCCTGGACCATAGTTGTTTGAGGCAGGTGCTGCTGAGTACTGAGCCTTCCTGCGTCTCCTCCTTATACTCGTTCTTCCTCAAACACGGCTGCTTGTTTCTGTCAGACACAAGTCTTCATCTTCTGTGTGTCTGCAGGTGGGTCGCTGGTTGGCAGCCATGTTTAATTTCCTCAAACACATGCCCCGCTACCTCATCCCCTGCTACTTTGATGCTATCCTAGTTTCCACCTACACCACAGCCCTCGATGCCACCTACAAACTCATGTCCAGGTAGGCTGTGCTGTGTCTGTCGACACAGCAGATCTCTTTGTTGTACTGAAATGTTAGTGTACAGCTCATCTTCATCTCTGTGTCCGGTTCGCTGCGGTCGAGCGATGACGTGTACCTGTCCTCCGTCTGAAAACAGCTTTGTCCAGAACGGCTCTACCTTTGTTCGTCACCTGGCGCTCGGTTCGGTTCAGATGTGCAGCGTTGGACGCTTTCCTGCTCTGCCTCCTGTTTCTGCTCAATTAGACGACGTCCCGTACCGCATCAGTCCAATCACGGGCCAGAAGGAGCAGTGCTGCGCCTCGCTGGCTGCAGGTAACAGTCACACACATCTGATGCTGTGTTTCCCGATGAAATCTTGTTTTGAGTCACGTCTCTTTGTCAGGTCTTCCTCATTTCTCTGCGGGGATTTTCCGTTGCTGGGGCAGAGACACCTTCATCGCTCTCAGGGGACTGCTGCTCCTCACTGGTAGACACGTCGAGGCTCGGTGCGTGACCCCGTGCACCTCATCTGATTCTCATGACACACGAGTGTATTAATTATATTACATTTCCTTACAAACTAAATTCCTTATCATGGTCTCCATAGCAACATCATCCTGGCCTTTGCAGGGACATTGCGCCACGGTTTGATCCCCAACCTGCTGGGGGAGGGTCGATGTGCCAGATACAACTGCAGGGACGCTGTGTGGTGGTGGCTGCAGTGCATCCAGGTGAGAGCTGCTGTGAACTTAAACTAGAAACAAGAGAGAGCAGAGTGCGGGTACGGCGCGCGGGGTGAGGAGTGCGGCGCCGGGAGTGAGGGTACGGCGCCGGGAGTGAGGAGTGGGGGTACGAGTGAGGAGTGAGGGTACGGTGCCCGGAGTGAGGAGTGGGGGTACGAGTGAGGAGTGAGGGTACGGCGCCGGGAGTGAGGAGTGGGGGTACGAGTGAGGAGTGAGGGTACGCCGGGAGTGAGGAGTGCGGGTACGAGGGAGGAGTGCGGGTACGAGTGAGGAGTGCGGGTACGGCGGGAGTGAGGGTACGAGTGAGGAGTGCGGGTACGAGTGAGGAGTGCGGGTACAGCGCCGGGAGTGAGGAGTGCGGGTACGAGTGAGGAGTGCGGGTACGAGTGAGGAGTGCGGGTACGGTGCCCGGAGTGAGGAGTGAGGGTACGAGGGAGGAGTGCGGGTACGAGGGAGGAGTGCGGGTACGAGTGAGGAGTGAGGGTACAGCGCCGGGAGTGAGGAGTGCGGGTACGAGTGAGGAGTGCGGGTACGAGTGAGGAGTGCGGGTACGAGTGAGGAGTGCGGGTACGGTGCCCGGAGTGAGGAGTGAGGGTACGGCGCCGGGAGTGAGGAGTGCGGGTACGAGGAGGAGTGCGGTACGGGAGGAGTGCGGGTACGAGTGAGGAGTGAGGGTACAGCGCCGGGAGTGAGGAGTGCGGGTACGAGTGAGGAGTGCAGGTACGAGTGAGGAGTGAGGGTACGGCGCCGGGAGTGAGGAGTGCGGGTACGAGTGAGGAGTGAGGGTACGGCGCCCGGAGTGAGGACTTAAAAACTTCATGTGTGGAACAGTACTGAAAGCCCTTCAATGAGATGGGGGATCAATGATGCTAAACGTCAATGTTTAACTTTCAAGCTGCTCATTAAATCTGTGTCTAAACAAACACCTTTGTGCATTCGTGCTTGTGTTCAGGACTACACTACCCAGGTTCCCAGAGGGCATGAAATCCTTAGCTGCCCTGTCACACGCATGTACCCCACTGATGACTGCGAGCCTTGTAAACCTGGAGAGGTGGTATGTACACACACACACACACACACCTCAGGCTGGAGCTCACCCCTGGCCCTTCAGCCAGTATTAGTCTCTCTACATTTCTACGCCGTTCTTAAGGGAAACGGGCAGAGAAGGCTGAGCTGTGACAGGAACATCAGTGGCACCAGGTCTTTTGGACTTTGTGGTCCAAGTTGTCCTCTGTAAGCACAGTCAGGCATGACACCAGTGACTGTGGCCCTGTGTACAACAGGATGCAGACTGTGTTCATGAAGCGTTCGTGTGGGATCATCATGACTGAGTGGAACAGAGAAATGTTCTTTAGGGTTACTTAGACGAGCTGTTCAGGCTGTGTTACAGGGATCGTACCAAATACTCACTTTGTGCTGTTTGACTGTATTTCTGGACGTTTAAATGAATCTCTGCACCTATTGTCCCTAAAATATGAAGAAATGAGGGGGTGGCTCAAGATTTTTGCACAGTACTGAAAATATTTTCCTTAAGTTCATTTTCAGGCGGCATGCTTATCTCAGGGCTTCACTAAACACTGCAAACAATTTAACAAAGCAGTCAGCACTCGCACACTGACATACCGTCATAGCTAGCTGATGTGTAACCTTTGACCCAACAGGAGGCTAAACTACAAAGACCACGATCCTAACGAGCTGCTCCTCTTATTAATCAGAGCACTAATAGTACATTTAACAGGTGCACACCTGGACTGGTACACCTGCTCCTCCTGTGTTCCAGCAGCATCGGCGTCTCTTTAATGCGACTGCTGGCAGTCACCAAATACTGGAGTGGCCCACACAGATGCTGAGTGTTGTGTGTTTATGCCCCGAACGTTCTGTGTGTTCATACATGTGCAGGAGCAGCCTCTGTATGATGTGATCCATGAAGCTCTGCGGCGCCACTTGGAGGGCATTTCCTTCAGAGAGAGAAACGCTGGACCCAAAATAGACATGAAAATGAGAGATGAAGGTGTGTGTGTTAAATGAGTTGCGTATTCAGAGTACTTATACACATTTTAAGAAAGTAATTTCTAACAGCTGATAAGCCGATGACATCATCTGGTTTTACTAAGTTCTTACTACAAAGATTTTTCGGGTACTGCACCTCACAACCTTTTGCTCTTTGCAGGGTTCAGCGTCGTTGCTCGGGTCGACCCCGCCACAGGTTTTGTGAGCGGAGGAAACCGCTTTAACTGCGGCACATGGATGGACAAGATGGGAGAGAGTGAGAGAGCCAGGAACAAAGGCATGCCTGCTACTCCAAGGTAACACAAACTCCTCACGCTGTGCAGTAAGTGACCCGCAGACTCCAGCTGCTCACATTCTACTGTCTCTACTGTTTTTACTGAAGTCAAATCATCAAAAAAGACTTCGCTGAAGCCCTCCATCAGGTTCAAAGTTGTATAAGTAACATATTAAACATGCTGAGACAGCAGCCCTCACAGAGTGCCACATCGAAACAGCAGAGCTTGGTGTTCGGGCTCCTCTGTGAAACTTTCCCAGGGTCCTCCCTGCTGCTGGTGTCCAGCTCTCTGTGGTGGGGGTGGGGTGGGGGTGCCACACACAATATTTAGTTTCTGGGTCTCATCATGGTGCACTCTGCTGGCTATTATGAAACACACACACACACACACGGGTTGGGATAGTAATAATGTATCAGAATAAATAAACTATCTAGTTTCTTCAGGCTTCAATCATCTAACACAATAAACAGGAGCATAGGAAGCTGCTGAGATCATTTGGTGTTGTCCACAGGTGTAACCCACAGATCCACGGTCCTTCTAAATGTGGCTCAATTCAATTCATCCATCCATCCATCCATCTTCATCCGCTTTGTCCGGGGCCGGGTCGCGGGGGCAGCAGCCTAAGCAAAGAGGCCCAGACCTCCCTCTCCCCAGCCACCTCCTCCAGCTTATCCGGGGGAATACCAAGGCGTTCCCAGGCCAGCCGAGAGATATAATCTCTCCAGCGTGTCCTGGGTCTGCCCCGGGGCCTCCTCCCGGTGGGACATGCCTGGAACACCTCACCCAGGAGGCGCCCAGGGGGCATCCTTGTCAGATGCCCGAACCACCTCAGCTGGCTCCTTTCGATGTGGAGCAGCAGCTGCTCTACTCTGAGCCCCTCCCGGATGGCCGAACTTCTCACCCTATCTCTAAGGGAGAGGCCAGCCACCCTTCGGAGGAAGCTCATTTCTGCCGCTTGTATCCGCGATCTCGTTCTTTCGGTCACTACCCACAGCTCGTGGCCATAGGTGAGGGTAGGGACGTAGATCGACCGGTAAATTGAGAGCTTCGCTTTTACACTCAGCTCCCTCTTCACCACGACGGACCGGTGCAGCGTCCGCATTACTGCAGCTGCAGCCCCAATCCGTCTGTCGATCTCCGGCTCCCTTCTCCCATCACTCGCGAACAAGACCCCGAGATACTTGAACTCCTCCACTTGGGGCAGGAACTCATCCCCGACCCGGAGTGGGCACTCCACCCTTTTCCGGCTGAGAACCATGGCCTCAGATTTGGAGGTGCTGATCCTCATTCCCGCTGCTTCACACTCGGCTGCGAACCGTTCCAGTGCGAGCTGGAGGCCCTCACCCGATGAAGCCAACAGAACCACATCATCTGCAAAAATCAGAGATGAGATTCTGAGGCCACCAAAGCGAAAGCCCTCCGCCACTTGGCTGCGCCTAGAAATCCTGTCCATAAAAATTATGAACAGAACCGGAGACAAAGGGCAGCCCTGGCGGAGCCCATCACCCACCGGGAACGAGTCCGACTTATTGCCGGCAATGCGAACCAAGCTCTTGCAACGGTTGTATAGGGATCGAATGGCCCGTAGCAATGGGCCAGACACCCCATATTCCCGCAACACCTCCCACAGGGCACCCCGAGGGACACGGTCGAATGCCTTCTCCAAGTCCACAAAACACATGTAGACTGGTTGGGCAAACTCCCATGCACCCTCAAGTATCCTGGAGAGGACAAAGAGCTGGTCCAGTGTTCCGCGACCAGGACGAAAACCGCATTGTTCCTCCTGTATCCGAGGTTCGACTAACGGACGAACTCTCCTTTCCAGCACTCTGCTATAGACCTTCCCAGGGAGACTGAGGAGTGTGTTCCCCCATAGTTGGAACACACCCTCCGGTCCCCCTTCTTAAAGATGGGGACCACCACCCCGGTCTGCCAGTCCACAGGTACTGCCCCTGATCTCCACGCAACATTGCAGAGGCGTGTCAACCAGGACAGCCCTACAACGTCCAGAGCCTTCAGGAACTCGGGGCGGACCTCATCAACACCAGGGGCTCTGCCACCAAGGAGTTGTTTAACTGCCTCAGTGACCTTGCCCCCGGAAATTGGCGGGTCATTCCCCTCATCCCCAGACTCTGCTTCCTCCTCGGAAGACGTGTCAGTGGGATTAAGGAGGTCCTCGAAGTATTCCTTCCACCGCCTGACAATTTTCTCAGTCGACGTCAGCAGCGCTCCGCCAGCACTATACACAGTGCAGGTAGAGCACCGCTTTCCCCTCCTGAGACCTCTGACGGTTTGCCAGAATCTCTTCGAGGCAGTCCGAAAGTCTTTTTCCATGGCCTCTCCGAACTCCTCCCACACCCGAGTTTTTGCTTCAGCCACTGCCCGAGCCGCATTCCGCTTGGCCTGTCGATACCTGTCGGCTGCCTCCAGAGTCCCACAGGCTAACCAAGCCCGATAGGACTCCTTCTTCAGCCTGGTGGCTCCCTTCACCTCTGGTGTCCACCATTTGGTTCGGGGATTACCACCACGGCAGGCACCAACCACCTTGCGGCCGCAGCTCAGTGCAGCAGCTTCGGCAATGGAGACGCTGAACATGGTCCATTCGGACTCAATGTCCCCAGTCTCCCTCGGAATGCTGTTGAAGCTCTGCCGGAGGTGTGCGTTGAAGATCTCGCGGACTGGGGCCTCTGCTAGACGTTCCCAGCACACCCTCACTACGCGTTTAGGTGCACCAGGTCTGTCCAGCGTCCTCCCCCGCCACCTGATCCAACTCACCACCAGGTGGTGATCAGTTGACAGCTCAGCCCCTCTCTTTACCCGAGTGTCCAGAACATATGGTCGCAGGTCTGCTGATACGATTACAAAATCGATCATCGACCTACGGCCTAGAGCGTCCTGGTGCCACGTGCACTTATGGACACTCTTATGTTCGAACGGGGTGTTCGTTATGGCCAAACTGTGATTAGCACAGAAGTCCAATAACAAAGCACCGCTCGGGTTCAGATCAGGGAGGCCGTTCCTCCCAATCACGCCCCTCCAGGTCTCGCTGTCGTTACCCACGTGAGCATTGAAGTCTCCCAGCAGGACAACAGAGTCTCCAGGACTCTAAGAAGGCTGGGTACTCTGAACTGCCACTCGGCGCATAAGCGCAGATGACAGTCAGGACCCGTTCCCCGACCCTAAGGCGCAGGGAACAAACCCTCTCGTCCACCGGGAAAAACCCCAACGTACCGGCAGCAAGCCGAGGGGATATTAGAATACCCACCCCAGCCCGCCGCCTCTCACCAGGGGCAACTACAGACTGAGACAGAGTCCAGCCCCTCTCCAGGAGACTGGTTCCAGAGCCCAAGCCATGCGTAGAGGTGAGCCCGACTATATCTAGCCGGTACCTCTCAACCTCACGCACTAACTCAGGCTCCTTCCCCACCAGAGAGGTGACATTCCATGTCCCTATTGCCAGTCTTGGCAGCCGGGGGTCAGTCCGCCAGGGCCTCCGCTCCTGGCCGCCACCCGGCACACAATGCACCCAACCCCTATGGCGCCTCCTGCGGGTGGTGGGCCTGCGGGAAGATGGGCCCATGTCTCCTTTTCGGGCTGTGCCCGGCCGGGCCCCATGGACTAAGGCCCGGCCACCAGACGCTCACCCTCGGGCACCCTCCCCGGGCCTGGCTCCAGGGCGGGGCCCCGGTAACCCTATCCCGGGCAGGGTAAACTGTTCCCTCGGTGTCCTTTTCATAAGGGTCTTATGAATCGCTCTTTGTCTGGTCCCTCACCCAGGGCCAGTTTGCCATGGGAGACCCTACCAGTAGGGGTGCAACGATACACAAAATTCACGGTTCGGTTCGGTTCGATACTTTGGTGTCACGGTTCGATATTTTTTCGATACAAAATAAAATGTTCATGCCTTTTTAATTTGTCATTTATTAAAATTATAAATATATATTTTAACTCAAAAGTACAGTTTTTAAATTTAACTCTAACCCTTGTGCGCGTTTTTTATTTTGACAGCGAATGCGCACCTGCGGACCACTTATGTGCACCCCTGGTTATTTAAATTCAAATTCAAATTCAAATTTTATTTGTCACGTACACAGTCATACACAGTACGATATGTAGTGAAATGCTTGGACAACTGCTCGTGACCTAAAGAAAACAAAAAAAGGAAAAGGCTATGAATAAGATAGGAAATAAATATGAAAAATTAAAAAGGGTAAATTTAACTAGGAAGGAATAGAATATAAATTAAGGTTAAAAATGAAATAACTGTACAACACAAATTGGAATGAAGGGTAAATTTAACTGGGAAGAATAAGATAAAGATAAATATATAAATTAAAGTTGAAAATAAAATAACTGTACAACAAAATACACAATACACAATATAGAACTATATAAGAATGTATGAAGAAATCTAAATCTAAATAAATATATACACAATAACAATTTAGCTCGTCATATTGCAGCCACAGAAATTCTTTTGTCCATGAAACCATAAAGCTGCACTTTCTTTTTGCCTTATAGTCTGATTTGTCATAACTTCTCCGTTTTGTGGTAAGCTTTTCTTTGGCTGTCACTTCTTCACCCTGACCTGTCTTATTTGGCTCAGCAGAACTAAAATATATATCTGTCTGTGAAGGTTCTCAGTCATCCAGGTCATCGTAGTCAAATATATATCCTGCTGCTTTTACACGCGCACTCACATAAGCTCAGCGATTCTCTGCGCGATCAACCTCTCACATGTTTAAGCTGCGGGAGATTTCACTTGTCATGTTTGCATAGTAAGCTAACGATTAATAAGACGATGTCAGAGGAATTGGTGCACAAATTATCATCACTCACAGATCAGTGCTGTCGCTCTCTATACACAGTTCGCACGATTGCAAAGTGAAAACAAAAAAACAAGCGCAAATTCAAACGCGATTTCAATATATCACATATTGACAGTGGCTCACCGATGCCAATGACATAATTACCCAGCTACATTTCTGAAAGAATGCAAAAGCATTGACATATATTTTTCCTTCCTACAATAGCCCGACGGGCAGGGTAGCCCGTCTGAAAAAAATCGCTAGCCCCAGGACGTCGGGCTAGCGATTTTGCGAGCCCTGTATCTGATTGAGGAATCACTCATCTTTGGAAAAGAGAGTTTATTACAGAGAAATGCCTCTTTCCAAAATAAAAGCTATACTATCCGCTTCTTCTGGGCTATATTCTCAGCAGCATAAGGAGAATCATGTGCTAACAGCTGTCTAAATGACTTGGCTAAAGTTAGTAGCATGCTTGTTGTTTTTGTCTTTGCACTAAGATGATGTAAATGTGCAGTCATATTCGTTGTGTTCCCACTAGTGCTTTCAGGTTAATCTCGTTGAAATGACCTTAACGCCACAACACGGCAAATCTCCGTTAACGAGCTACCGCCGATCGCCCCGTGCATGGGGCTAGACGGCCAACACGTTAACGAGCTAACTGCGCTAACACACTAGTTCCCACCCATGTAATTGAGCATTGCATGGCGCATCCAACATACTGTTTTACTTTAGTCCATGACTCGCTTACCTTCAGGGTCATACGTCACATGAAAACCAAAATAATTCCAAACGCCAGATCTGAATGAAAGTGGGGAACGTCCATGTTGCAAGGAGAGCTTAACTTCTGTCTTGCTAGCTTGCCCTGTGCTCTTCCTTCTGACTATGCTGTCTGTGTTGAGCGCTCAGTGAATCTGCGTTCGACTGCTCCGCCTAGGGTCGACAGTGCAGCCTAGGCGGATTAGTCGAACGCAGATTCACTGAGCGCTCCACACAGACAGCATCGTCAGAAGGACAGTTGATAAAATAAATTACAAATGTTGTATTGTTCGATACATATGCGTACCGAACCGAAAGCACTGTATCGAACGGTTCAATATCGATACGAATATCGTTGCACCCCTACCTACCAGGGGGCAAAAGCCCCCAGACAACATAGCCCCTGGGATCCCTGGGACACACAAACCCCTCCACCACGATAAGGTAGCGATTCAAGGTGGGGCAATTCAATTCAATTTTATTTATATAGCGCCAAATCACAACATAAGTCGCCTCAAGGCGCTTCATAGATACAGAGAAAAACCCAACAATCATATGACCCCCTATGAGCAAGCACTTTGGCAACAGTGGGAAGGAAAAACTCCCTTTTAACAGGAAGAAACCTCCGGCAGAACCAGGCTCAGGGAGGGGCGGGGCCATCTGCTGCGACCGGTTGGGGTGAGAGAAGGAAGACAGGATAAAAGACATGCTGTGGAAGAGAGCCAGAGATTAATGACAGATATGATTCAATGCAGAGAGGTCTGTTAATACATAGTGAGTGAGAAAGGTGACTGGAAAGGAAAAACTCAATGCATCATGGGAATCCCCCGGCAGCCTACGTCTATTGCAGCATAACTAAGGGAGGATTCAGGGTCACCTGGTCCAGCCCTAACTATATGCTTTAGCAAAAAGGAAAGTTTGAAGCCTAATCTTGAAAGTAGAGATAGTGTCTGTCTCCTGAATCCAAACTGGAAGCTGGTTCCACAGAAGAGGGGCCTGAAAACTGAAGGCTCTGCCTCCCATTCTACTTTTAAATACTCTAGGAACAACAAGTAGGCCTGCAGAGCGAGAGCGAAGTGCTCTAATAGGGTGATATGGTACTACAAGGTCATTAAGATAAGATGGAGCCTGATTATTTAAGACCTTGTATGTGAGGAGCAGGATTTTGAATTCAATTCTGGATTTAACAGGAAGCCAATGAAGGGAAGCCAAAACAGGAGAAATATGCTCTCTCTTTCTAGTCCCAATTCAAGCAGCATTGTTAGAACAACGATAATAACTGACAAACACAAATGTCCTCACTCTGTGTGCCACATTTGCTGTTAGAAAGATGCAAAAACACAGAAGTTTAATTGGCTTAGAGAACTTTATATTACAATTTGAATTGACAACATCAGTGAATCAAAGGAAAGTCCAGGTTGGTACTGATATCGTGTCCTGTGCCTTTTGTGCAGAGATGGAGCAGCGGTGGAGATAGTTGGTCTGAGTAAGTCTGCAGTTCGCTGGGTGGTGGAACTTCACGCCAAGGGCCTGTTCCCATACGATGGAGTTAAATTACACAGAGATGGTATGTGACAAACTCCACTGTTTTCACATAAACGAATTCCCCATCGTCATTCACCTAAAACCAAACCACCTTATTCCAGGTAAGGAAGTGTTCATCTCGTACTCCCAGTGGAACGAGCAGCTCAGCCAGTCCTTTGAAGCTGGCTTCTGGGTGTCCGGTGACCCAGATGACCCCGATGAGAAGCACCCTGAGCTGGTGCACAAGAAAGGCATCTATAAGGACAGCTACGGCGCCTCCAGCCCCTGGTGTGACTACCAGCTCAGACCCAACTTCACTGTCGCCATGGTGGTGGTAAGCCAACCACAGCCAACGCCTCGCTGTGATCTTCAGTACTGTGTGAAAAACACTCAGTAATAATTACACGTACGTGTGTGTGTGTGTGTGCGTGCGTGCGTGCGTGCGTGCGCGCGCGCGTGTGTGCGTGTGCGTGTGTGCGCGCGCGTGTGTGCGTGTGTGCGCGCGTGTGTGTGTGCGTGTGTGCGCGCGCGTGTGTGTGCGTGCGTGTGTGTGTGTGTGCGCGTGTGTGTGTGTGTGTGTGCTCCAGGCTCCAGAGCTGTTCACGGTGGAGAGAGCCTGGAACGCTTTGGAGATAGCTGGGAAGAAACTGCTGGGACCACTGGGAATGAAAACCCTAGATCCTGAGTAATACATTTAAGCTTCTAACTAAACGCCGCAGCACAACGCGTGTTCAGTAACAGCAGTGAAAGACTTAAATGGCTCTTATTGTGTTGTCTCAGTGACCTGGTTTACTGTGGCGTCTATGATAACGCACTGGACAATGACAACTACAACGTGGCCAGAGGCTTCAACTACCACCAAGGACCGGTGAGTCCCACGTCTGTCACTGCAGATGGTTGAACGCAGTGCTGAACAGAACGCCAACCAGAAGAAATGTTTAAAAGTTAACTTTAATAATGCATCAGATCTCCACTGGTAGAAAAGTCAGAGACATGGACTCTGGGTAGAAAATCATCCACCTACAGGCTGCACTCAGAGGATTCACTGTCAGATTTCGGATACATTACCTATAACGTGTCACACAACCTGTTACACACTTTGTGTTTGTGCGTAGGAATGGCTGTGGCCAGTCGGGTACTTCCTGCGTGCTAAACTCTACTTTGCAAAGAAGCTGGGAGAAGACACGTACACCAAAACGGTTACCTTGGTGAAAAATGTTCTGTCACAACATTACACTCACCTGGAGAGGTAGGCCGCTCTCCCCTGTACCTCTGATGAAACGACTGCCTTTTATTGCTTTTCTTTACTAACCTGTCCCTACCTGTCCACCTCCACCAGGTCTCCATGGAAGGGTCTGCCAGAGCTGACCAATGAGAATGGCCAGCACTGTCCATTCAGCTGTGAGACCCAGGCCTGGTCTCTAGCCACTGTGCTGGAGGTCCTGTATGACCTGTAGACCTGTGCAGAGGGCCACCTGTTGCTCAGTTCATCACCAGCCAATCACAGCATCCACTCAGAAAAGTGGACGAGAGGGTCAGTGTGGATGGAATCACACTGTTTTCTTTTTTTCCAGAGGGGGGTTCTGGTAGCATTTCCAAATAAATACTGCAGTGCTTAAAGTGTTTACTAACCAGCCTTGATTGCATTTGGTTGTAGTTAAGTTTGCAAGCTAAATAAAAGATAAGGTCCCAGCAGAAAGCTGATGTAGCTCATATTTCCTATGTTTCCCATATGACCTGAATGCAGCACATTTTAAAGTCCAGCCAGTCTTTAGACTGTAGCAGCTGCTAAGTGTGGTGAACGTTAACGTGTCTGATCCTGCAGACATCCATACCAAAGACATGATCTTGGTATGGATGAAAAGCGTTTGGTAGGCGTTGACTCACAGGGTTGGTGTTAAAACCATTATGAGCCACTGTGCATTCTGTCCCCATAGCAGTTATTTTAAATAAAAAGAGAAGATGTTTTTCTTTGTGGGTCATTGCTGTTCACCAAGGCTCATGTTTGCTACTGAAATCTGCTGTGTGCTTTTATCCTACATCTGTCACAGTGTCCTGTCTCCTGACCTGCAGCGAACACCTGCTGCACGACGAGCTGTAGCAGCACTGGTAGCGTGTTAATGTTGGTGTGAATGTAGGTTAAGTTTAGCTTCTCTATGGAACAGAAAAACCCTCCAGCCTGTACCTTTACACCTGTCATACAGGGAGTGCAGAATTATTAGGCAAGTTGTATTTTTGAGGAATAATTTTATTATTGAACAACAACCATGTTCTCAATGAACCCAAAAAGCTCATTAATATCAAAGCTGAATGTTTGTGGAAGTAGTTTTTAGTTTGTTTTTAGTTTCAGCTATTTTAGGGGGATATCTGTGTGTGCAGGTGACTATTACTGTGCAGAATTATTAGGCAACTTAACAAAAAACAAATATATACCCATTTCAATTATTTATTTTTACCAGTGAAACCAATATAACATCTCCACATTCACAAATATACATTTCTGACATTCAAAAACAAAACAAAAACAAATCAGCGACCAATATAGCCACCTTTCTTTGCAAGGACACTCAAAAGCCTGCCATCCATGGATTCTGTCAGTGTTTTGATCTGTTCACCATCAACATTGCGTGCAGCAGCAACCACAGCCTCCCAGACACTGTTCAGAGAGGTGTACTGTTTTCCCTCCTTGTAAATCTCACATTTGATGATGGACCACAGGTTCTCAATGGGGTTCAGATCAGGTGAACAAGGAGGCCATGTCATTAGTTTTTCTTCTTTTATACCCTTTCTTGCAGCCACGCTGTGGAGTACTTGGACGCGTGTGATGGAGCATTGTCCTGCATGAAAATCATGTTTTTCTTGAAGGATGCAGACTTCTTCCTGTACCACTGCTTGAAGAAGGTGTCTTCCAGGAACTGTCAGTAGGACTGGGAGTTGAGCTTGACTCCATCCTTAACCCGAAAAGGCCCCACAAGCTCATCTTTGATGATACCAGCCCAAACCAGTACTCCACCTCCACCTTGCTGGCGTCTGAGTGGGACTGGAGCTCTCTGCCCTTTACCAATCCAGCCACGGGCCCATCCATCTGGTCCATCAAGACTCACTCTCATTTCATCAGTCCATAAAACCTTAGAAAAACCAGTCCTGAGATATTTCTTGGCCCAGTCTTGACGTTTCAGCTTGTGTGTCTTGTTCAGTGGTGGTCGTCTTTCAGCCTTTCTTACCTTGGCCATGTCTCTGAGTATTGCACACCTTGTGCTTTTGGGCACTCCAGTGATGTTGCAGCTCTGAAATATGGCCAAACTGGTGGCAAGTGGCATCTTGGCAGCTGCACGCTTGACTTTTCTCAGTTCATGGGCAGTTATTTGGCGCCTTGGTTTTTCCACACGCTTCTTGCGACCCTGTTGACTATTTTGAATGAAACGCTTGATTGTTCGATGATCACGCTTCAGAAGCTTTGCAATTTTGAGACTGCTGCATCCCTCTGCAAGATATCTCACTATTTTTGACTTTTCTGAGCCTGTCAAGTCCTTCTTCTGACCCATTTTGCCAAAGGAAAGGACGTTGCCTAATAATTATGCACACCTGATATAGGGTGTTGATGTCATTAGACCACACCCCTTCTCATTACAGAGATGCACATCACCTAATATGCTTAATTGGTAGTAGGCTTTAGAGCCTACACAGCTTGGAGTAAGACAACATGCATGAAGAGGATGATGTGGACAAAATACTCATTTGCCTAATAATTCTGCACTCCCTGTATAATACACTTCATATGATGCAGTTAGTATTTCTGTACCACCACTAAATATTCACACTCGGCAGGTAAGAAGTGAACAACAAAGGTGCTATTGAGATGCTGGTAATATCCAGTGTACACGTAAAGAATTCAAGCTACAAATATCCTTAAAACTGTAATAATGAAAAATGACAAAGTATTGAACAGTCCTGACACCATCTGAAATCTCAGTAATTAGAAAGCATTTCAAATTAATTAATATCAGCTTGTTCAGGCTCATCAAATATATATATAATTGAATTTAAGCTCTCTTGTTACCAAGGTGTCACACAACATATATCCAGTGTTGGGAAGGTTACTTTTAAAATGTATTCCACTACAGATTACAGATTACATGCCCCAAAATGTAGTTTGTAATGTATTCTGAATACTTTGGATTACTTAATATATTATCATGCTTTTCACAACTACATGAATGTCCTATTGCTGTGTGATTTGTTACTGTTACTGAAGGTTACTCTCCACACCAACACCAACTAGATGTTTAAATCTTAATATAAATGAGTAACAGTAGGTGGACATTAGGTAAAGCTGCACTTTTTTCGTATAGAAAACTATTCCGTGCGTATATAAAACAGGTCCGCAGCTCTGAACCGTAGTAAAGGGACCTCTGGCTAATACGTCGGGCTCGTAGCTGAAAACTAGCTTTACTTTGTTGTCTGGGTCAAGTTTGCTAGCAGAGACAGAGAGAGGCGTTGAAAGGCTGCTCCAACCGAACTTATTGTTTCAGAGGAAAACACGAACACAGTGTACAGTCAAGTCTTGATAGCTTACTTACAACTGGGCTCGTCAGGCACTGACTTGGCTGCAGTGGTTATTATTATATTTACATGCTTCCAGCTCCCGTTTCTGCTCAATGACAGCTCGTACTTTTCCTTTCTCTCCCTCCCTCGCTCACAGACACATCACGGGTATGGCAGTCCATTCTCCCTGCAGCACGGACTATCACTCCCTCCAGTTAATACACGACACCACGGTTCTTCATTCACAGATGGATTTATTCTTCCGTCACACTTCTCCTCAGAAACCCCATAAAATCCACCGTCAAACTGTTATTACATAAAAGTACAGAATGACCAACATAAATATTACAAATAAACATTTAAACCCAAGTTAACAAATACGCGATAAACAAACACAGTTAACGTACCTCGCTGGCTGCACGTAACCGTGAGGGAATGAGTCCGCTTCAGGAACAACTTAACAAAAATAATTCCCAATTTCTTCTTCTTTGCAGCTTTCTTTTACTTTAAACTGCTTATTTATTCCTTCTTCTGCCTTAGTTAACTTATTAACTTAGCTTCTTGCACATGCCTTTTACTTCCCTTTACGTCACTTAAACAAACTGACATAATTTACATTTATGGCAGTTAAACGGACTACACTGCCCATCAGGCTGCATGCTTTAGCGCTATGCCTGTAACACTCTGCCTGTTGCCTTCATATTAAATCATTTAAAATATATATTTCTTCACGTCATTATGAGACGCAAGATTGAGACACAGACATTAGAGCCAATTAATCCATGTTTTGTTTGGGTTTCCACCGGCGTGGAAACCAAAAATAGAGCGGGGACAGCCGAACATATCAAACAGGACAAGACCGCCGTGTAATCCATTTATTTCAACAAAGTAACTGTATTCTGAATACCACCTAACGGTAACTGTAACGGAATACAGTTACTCATATTTTGTATTTTAAATACTTAACGGTGGTACATGTGTTCCATTACTCCCAACACTGCATATATAAGTTGGTTTATAATAGTTTGACCACAGTGCACACCTAAACAGAGGTCCACTGAATAAATGCTGGAACCCCAAGAATGTAACTGAAACGTATGTGTTGTTCACACAATGGCAGTGCTGAATAAACTGTTGACCTTAGTGCTCTCACCTCTGTGTATGTGTGGCTATGTACAGCTCTTCTCTTCAATTCAATGTTATTTACACAGCACCAAATCACAACAGCAGTCGCCTCAAGGCGCTTTATATTGTAAGGTCGACCCTACAGTAATACATACAGAGGAAAAACCCAACAATCATATGACCCCTATGAGCAGCACTTTGGCGACAGTGGGAAGGAAAAACTCCCTTTTAACAGGAAGAAACCTCCAGCAGAACCAGGCTCAGGGAGGGGCGGGGCCATCTGCTGTGATTGGTTGGGGTGAGAGAAGGAAGACAGGATAAAGACATGCTGTGGAAGAGAGACAGAGGTTAATAACAGATATGATTCAATGCAGAGGTGTCTGTTAACACATAGTGAGTGAAGAAGAAACACCCAGTGCATCATGGGAATCCCCGGCAGCCTATGTCTATTGCAGCATAACTAAGGGAGGATTCAGGGTCACCTGGTCCAGCCCTAACTATATGCTTTAGCAAAAAGGAAAGTTTGAAGCCTAATCTTGAAAGTAGAGATAGTGTCTGTCTCCTGAATCCAAACTGGAAGCTGGTTCCACAGAAGAGGGGCCTGAAAACTGAAGGCTCTGCCTTCCATTCTACTTATAAATACTCTAGGAACAACAAGTAGGCCTGCAGAGCGAGAGCGAAGTGCTCTAATAGGGTGATATGGTACTACAAGGTCATTAAGATAAGATGGGGCCTGATTATGTAAGACCTCGTATGTGAGGGGCAGGATTTTGAATTCTGGATTTAACAGGAAGCCAATGAAGGGACACTGCAGACATAGAGGACAGCTACAAGTACCTGGGGATCCCACAGGCAAATGGGAACCATGAAGAGGTCGCTAGGAAAGCTCCAACCACCAAGTATCTGCAGAGGGTCAGGCAGGTCCTGAGGAGTCAGCTGAACGGTAAGAACAAGATCCGGGCTACCAACACCTACGCCCTGCCCATGATCAGGTACCCTGCTGGGATAAGTTGAGCAAAGGAGGAGATAGAAGCCACTGATATCAAGACTCCTGACCATGCATGGAGGGTTTTTCCCCAAGTCCAGCACCCTGAGGCTGTACGCTAAGCAGAAGGAAGGAGGCCGGGAACTGGTGAGTGTCAGCAACACAGTCCAGGATGAGATAATGAACATCCACGAATACATCAGGAAGATGGCCCCAACTGACCGCGTGCTCAGTGAATACCTCAGGCAGCAGACCCCAGGTGCAGGCTGTGTAAAGATGCCCCAGAGACAATCCAGCACATAACAGCAGGGTGCAAGATGCTAGCAGGCAGGGCATACATGGAACGCCATAACCAAGTGGCCGGCATAGTGTACAGGAA